TTCTCTGTCTCGGTACTTCCCTGTCTCTCGGTTTCTCTGTCTCGGTATTTCCCTGTCTCTCGGTTTCTCTGTCTCGGTATTTCTCTGTCTCTCGGTTTCTCTGTCTCGGTATTTCTCTGTCTCTCAGTTTCTCCATGTCTCTTTCTCAGTCTAATTCCCTCCTTCTCCCTGTCTGCCTCCCTCTTCCTCTGGTCACTTCTCCCTGGTAAACATTCCAGTCCTGTCCATTGGGAACAAGAAACCTCAGTGTTCCCAAAGAAAACAATGTTGGGAGGGGAAGGGGGAAGGGATCAGAGAAGGGGCCTCAGCTTAAGGAACACCTAGGGTAGAGAGCCTAGAACACAAGCTGGGGAAAGATCTCTTAGGGTCTTGGTTTTCCTTTGCTTCTCTCTCTGTGCCCTATGTCCCATGCATGTCTCTGGATAGCCAAAGGAAGGAAAGAGAAGAGGAGGGGAGACAGAGACAGAGACAGATAGTGGAGAGATAAAGACAGAGAAACAGAGAGATCCAGACAGAGTCAGAGAGACAGAGACAGAGAGAGGAGAGAGAGACAGAGTGAGAGAGGGAAGAGAGACAGACAGTCAGAGACAGAGACAGAGACAGAGAGGCAGAGAGAGAGAGATGGCGACCTAGACTCCTGAGAGGGGCCAGGTACCTATGGGCTAAGGGCTGGATCTGAGAGCCTCCCAGGAGGGATAATGTTGACATTATGACATGCTGAGTTCTTCCTCCTCCATTACCAGCAGAACGTGCTGTTGGGGGCTATGTGCCTGTTCTGACCACAAATTATGCAATTGTGGATCAGTCCCGGATACTCCCTCCTCGTCTTTTAAACAAAAGCTGAATCAACTCCCAGAGCAGACCAGAGGCCAATGAGGCATCAATACATATGGTGAGTCTGGGCTGGGGACCTGAACTGGGGGAGTCAGGGTGGGGGGAGGTTGAAGAAGAATCCACACAACCAGCTCTCCAAGAGGAAAGGGGGTGGGAAGAGGAGAGGTGAGGAGAAAGTTGTTGTTTTCTGGGTCCCTTTCTCCAAGCTTCATGCCTCTAGACACTCTGGAGAGCCTCAAAATTCCTCCTCTCTCCTCACTTAGCACCTATACACCCACACACACATCCACACACACTCGCACATCCCCCCCCACACACACACACACACTCAACTGAGACTTAGAGAGTTGAAATGACTTGCCCAGGATCACACAGCCAGCAGGGTTCAAACTCAGGTCTTTCTGACTTTAAATCCTGTTTACTGCCCATTACACTACTCTGCCTCTAGGGGAGACCTTAGAATATAAAGTTTAAGACCTGAGAGGACCAAATACAGCTTGAAAAACCTTTGGATTCTCACTTCCAGATTTTAGAGGGGAAAAATCCTTAAAACCTATAATGTCAGAGGTGGGAGGGGCCTTAGGACATAGAATTGGAGTGAGAATCTCTCTCTTTCTTCTCCTCCCACCTCTGTGACTGCTCTTTCTCTATATCTTTTACTAGATCATCTTCCTGTTCTATGGGTATGCCCCCAGGCTTTATCCTGGATCTTCTCCTTTTCTTCTTTTTTTCTTCCTCTTTTCTTCTTCCTCTCTTCTTCTTCTTCTTCTTCTTCTTCCTCTCTTCTTCCTCTTTTTCTTTTTCTTCTCTCTCCCCCTCCATCCTCTCTCTTGCTACTCTTACCAACTCCCAAGGGTTCAGTTATCTCTGTAGATGATTCCCAGATATTGACATCCAGCCCTAATCTCTCTTCTGAGGTTCAGTTTAATATTTCCAAACTGCTTGCTATCTATCCCTGCCTGGGCATCTAATAGGCTTCTCAAACTCAATATATCTGAAACAGCATGTTACGTTTTCCCCTACGCTCATCCCTTCTCCCAACTTCTCCATCTCTATGGATGGTACCAACATACACCCAGAGTTTCAACCAGGGAGGCATCTTTGATCTTTCCCTGTCCCTCAACCACTATATCCAACCAGATTCTCAATCCTTTCAACTCTCCCTCCACAACACCTCCAACATTCTTTCTACTCACACAGCCTCCCCACCTCCACCTCTTGTTCAGACCTTTCTCTGGTCTTCATCACCGCTGGTCTAAACTATTGCGATAGCCTCCTAATTAGACTCCCTGGCTCCACTTTCCAATTTATCCAAACAGGCTACCAAATCCATAGTCCTAAAACAGAGAACTTTTTGCATTACCTTCCTCTAAAATCTCCAATGACTCCCTATTACCTATAGAATAAAGTACCAAAATTCTCAGCCTACCATTTAGAGCCCAGGACCATCGGGCTTACATCTACTTTTCCATCCTTATCCTTCTTCTTGAACTCATCATTACAATCTGGTCTGTAAGCAGTTCTCCACACCCAGCATCCTGTCTCCAAGTCTTTGTTCAAGTGGTCCTCTGTGTCTGGAATGTTCTTTCTGCTCACCTGTACCTCATAACATCCTCAGCCCCCTTCAAGGCCCAGTTCAGGTACCACCTCCTACCTGAGGTGTCTCCTTCTGTGTGTGTGTGTGTGTGTCTATCTCTCTGTGTTTCTGTGTCTGTCTCTGTCTCTGTCTTTCTCTGTCTCTATCTCTCTTTGTCTCTCTCTGTCCCTCTCTGTTTCTCTCCCTGTCTCTCTCTCTGTGTCTCTCTATCTCTGTCTCTGAAATGACTTAACATTACATTTTATTCCCTTACTCAGCATTTAGCCCAGTGCCTGGCACAGAGTAGGTGCTTAATAAATGCTTCCCAACTTGACATATTTGTATATGTATCACCTTCTTCCAATAATATAGAAGCACCATTTCAGTGTGTCTTTGTCTCCCCAGCAGCAAAAGCAGGATGGATGGCTGCATAGTAAGGATATTTCATAACAGTTGAGTAAACTACAGGTCAGATCTGGAGTGAACTAGAACACAGGACATCAAGTGTCAGAACCAGAAGAATCTTAAGACATAGGGGGGAGAGAGAGAGAGAGAGAGAGAGAGAAGAGGAGAGGGAGAGAGAGAGAGAGAGAAGAGGAGAGGGAGAGAGAGAGAGAGAGAGAAGAGGAGAGGGAGAGAGTTGGAAACAGATATCAAGAAAGAGAAAGAGAGAGGTAGGAAGAGGAAGAAGGGGGAGAGAGGAAGGAAGGAAAGAAGGAAGGGAGGGAGGGAGGGAGGAAGGGAGGAAGGAAGGAAAGAAAGAAGGAAGGAAGGAAAGAAGGAAAAGGAAAAAGAAGAAAGTATTAGAGAGAGAAAGAGAAATCAATCAAAAGACAGACAGACAAAGAACATTTTTAAGTAGACACTGTGCTCAGTACTGGGGACAAATATAAGCAGTAGGATATTCCTTGACCTCAAAAACCTTCTAATCAAAAGGGGAAGTCAACACACAACAGGAAGTGGAGAGTTACAGAAGGACAGTGGTCTGTTGTGGAGAAGACCAAGAAACATTGTAGGGGCTGGTTCCAGGCAAAATAAGGCCAAACTTCTCTCACAGAGCCCTGTGTTCCAGCAATGGAGTCCAAGATTCTATTGGGAAGGAACTGAAAATGAGGACCAGAGGTCAGGCAGCCTGGTGTGGAGAAGTCAATATGCTTTAATATGAACTCATTCCAAAAGCTGGGAAGGTAGGTGGGAACCAGATTTTGGAGGGTTTTTAATACCACGATGAGAATTGTGTATTTTATCCTGTAGACAGTAGGGAACCATTGAGAATTTTTGAGTAGGACAATGTGCTCTGGGCCTATGAATTTGGCAGCTGTGTGGAGGATGGCTTGGAGAGGGGGGAGCCTGGAGACAGGGAGAACAAATATGAGACTCTTTCAATTGTCTAGGCTAGAAGTGGTAAGAGCCAGAAGCAGGATCCTAAGGTCCTTGAACAAGGGTAGAGGCTGTATAAGAGGAGAAAATAGGGTTGATTCTGGAAATGTTGTGAAGGACGAGTGGACAAGATAGAGAATCTGGTTGGATATGGTCATTGGTTGATGGGCAGGGAATAATCAAAGCAGCTTCAGGCGGCAGGGCTGCTAGAGACAAAAAAGACTGTTAGCTATAGGCTCTCAAGGGTTCCTATGGTCTGAGCCCAGCAGAGAGCTGCCCCTGGGGGGAAATTCATGCATGTGGCCAAAAAAACATCCAGGAACCAAGAGTGGTGAATTACTCCTTTGCTACAAATATTTTCTACACATACGGTTTACTACCTTTGCACCCTAAATCTATGGCCATAGCCCCCACATAACTTGTATTTATTTATGGGGAAATGTGTTCTCACTATTTCATCTGGCTAAATACCTTTGCTAACAAGCTATTCGGCTTTCAAAGCTTTTCATCACCTAGTTGCCTCCTACCCTTCCAACCTTCTTTCATCTTTGATCCAGTGACACTGGCCTTCTGGCTGTTACCTGAACAAGACCCTCCATTTCTCATCTCCAGCCATTCCCTCTGGCTGTCTCCTGTGACTGGAACACTCTCCCTCCTCTACTCTGACTGCTGATCTCTTTGACTTCCTTCAAGTCCCGACTAAAATCCCATTTTTTCTTGGAAGTCTTCCTCAACCTCTCAATTCCAGTGCCTTCTGTCTGTTAACTATTTCCTATGTGGGGCCATCTCCAGTCGTCTTGATCTATATTTCTCCACTGGAACCCAAATGACTCCAAAGAAAATGAGGCTGCTGACTTTGCACAGCCCTCTATCACTTGAATCCAGTTCACTTGTAAGTCATGGTGTCACCTTCCTGATGTCATGGTCCTCTCCAAGAATGAAGGATAAACAACATTTCCTATATATCCTGTATATAGCTTGCTTTCTATATATTTGTTTAGATATTGTCTCCCCCATTAGATGGTAAGCTCCTTGAGGGCAGGAACTGTCTTTTGCTTCTTTTTGTATCCTCAGTGCTTAACACAGTGCCTGACACATAGTAAGTGCTTAATCCATGTATATTGAATTGATCAACTATCTCTTCCACAAGGGAGTTAGACTAAGTGATCTCAAAGGGAATTTCTATCTCTGATAACCTAGGAGATCTCAAGATTTCTTAATCTACATCAGAGAACCAAAGATACTAGAGACCTTGAAGACCATTAAATCCAACATTCTCAGGACACAACTGGGACCAATGAGGCTCAGGGAGGAGAAGGGTCTTGTACAAGACCACAAGTCAGGACTCAATATTATGTTCAGAAGCTTTGGGAAAGGGTCCATTGCAAATTCTAAGATAGAGCAGCGGTAATCCTAGGGACCCAGCACCTAAGGGATGTGGTGTCTGGGCAGGGTCAGCCATAGTTAACAGGGGAGACTCTCATGGGGAAAGTGACCAGAGTCAAACAGCCAGATGAGGGAGAGCATGAGTGGCTGGAAGCCTTGAAAGAGCTTGGTCAATTCCAATCAAGTCAACCGGCATTGATGAAAAGACTTACTGTGTACCAGGCACAGGGCTTAGCACTGAGGGGAGGAGGAATAAAGTTAAAACCAGTCCCTGCCCTCAAGAGACTTGCAATCTAATGGTTATTGATTTGTTCCAGGTGCTAGCATGATGGAGAACTCCTCAGTGCTCCCTTCAGATGCTTCAGATGCCCTCTTCCCCACAGAGTCACCACCAACTGCCATTCACCAGGCCTTCTGGATCATCTCGCTCATTATCTTCTGCTTAGCCTTTGTCCTGGGCATAACTGGCAATGGGCTGGTGATCTGGGTAGCAGGCTTCCGGATGGCTCGTACAGTCACCTCTGTCTTGTTCCTCAACCTGGCTGCAGCAGACTTCACCTTCACTGCCTTCTTGCCATTCTTCATCGTTGGGACCGCCCTGCAGCCCCATTGGCCCTTTGGTTGGTTCCTCTGCAAGCTAATTAGCTCCCTGGCTATTTTTAATATGTTTGCCAGTGTCTTCTTGCTGACCCTCATCTCTCTTGACCGCTGTGTCTCTGTCCTCTGGCCAGTGTGGGCCAGGAATCACCGCACACCTCGTCGAGCAGCCCTGGGTGCTGCAGGGGCCTGGACTTTTGCCCTGGCCTTTTCTGTCCCAGCATTCATCTTCAGGACCACGGACACAGAGAATGGGACCACCTTTTGCTACATTGAGTTTGACCCCTGGGATGAGGCAGGAGATGATGATGAGTACTATTATGCACTGTCTGAAAGCCGCCAATGGTCCCTGGTGTGCAGCCGCTTCTTCCTTGGTTTTGTGATTCCACTCCTCATCATTACTGTCTGCTATGGCCTCATCACAACCAAGCTTTGGAGTAGAGTAAAGACAAAGTCCAGTCGGCCCTTCAAGATCCTCACAGCCGTGGTGGCCGCCTTCTTCCTCTGCTGGCTCCCTCACCACGTGATGGGCATGATCGAGGTTTCTGTCTTCAGTCACCCACACTTCAAAGAGGTTCTGCCTTACCTGAGCCCTCTCTCGTCCTGCCTGGTATTTGTCAACAGTTGCCTCAACCCTTTGCTCTATGCCTTCATAGGCCGGGACTTCAGGGAGAGACTGTTCAGATCCCTGCCAGCTGCTCTGGAGCGGGCTCTGAGTGAGGAATCCACCCCAACTGGCACCACAGCCACTAGTTCTACCTGTGCACCTCCTGCCACCGATGCTGAAACGCAGGGTCTGTGAGGGGGTGCCTTCTCTTCTGTGGTCTTTCTGTGGGGCCTGCCTTCATGTGGTCCAAATTCCAAGTTCTAAAAGACCTGCCAACTCTGATATTTTATGTTCTAAGGTCACTCCTAGCTCTGACATTTCAGGTTCTAAGGGCCCTCCTGCTTTGACATTCCAAATTCCAAATGTGCTCCCCTTCTGACAGGGCTTTCAAACCTCTGACATTCTAGGTTCTAAGGGTCCTCCTCTCTTTGATATTTCCAATTCTAAGAGTCTTCTCACCATGGACATTCTAGGTTCTAAGAGCCCTTCCTCCTTTGACATTGCCATCCCAAATCCTTGGGTCCCACCATTGTCCTTCCTGAACCCTCTCAGGTTTCTGAGTCTGCCCTCAGAAGCCCCCAAACCCTCTGGCCGATGGCCCCTTCCTGCTGTGGCTTTGGGGTCCCAGAGATGGACGAGTTTCCCGTTAGATCACCAGAGTTTGTTCCCACAACAAACATTGGACTCCTCCAGGCGTTGGTCCTGCTCTCCCAGCCTTCCAGCCCCACCCTCTTCAGCCTTCCCGGCACGACCCAGGGGGGACTCGGGAATACCAGGGTGAACAGGAAGGAGATCCTCTTCCAGGACCTGGAAGGGAGAGGGCCAGGGAAGTAGCCTGAGGCTGAGAACACCAAGATCTAGGTTCAGGTCCTTACTCTGCCATTAGGACCTGGGCTTAGAAGTAACTAATGGAGGCTGAAGTGACCCTCGGTGACCTGGGAGCATCTCCAAGGTCCCGTTTCTTTTTTTTTTAATAGATGATTTGTGATATTTTTAACTTGTTTTCATGCCCCAGATCTTCCCGTCTTCTTCCAAAAAACCACCCTTTACAACAAAGAACTCCAAAAAGCAGGGGAGAGGTGTTAAAAGAGGAAGATGGGAGAAAAGTTCAGCAAAACTGCTCCATTAATGGGGCAGCTAGATGGTGCAGTGGATAGAGTACCAGCCCTGGAGTCAGAAGGACCTGGGTTCTAATCTGGCCTCTGACACTTACTAGCTATGTGACCCTGGGCAAGTCACTTAACCCCAATTGCCTAAAAAAAAAACCTGCTCCATTAAAAAATGCTAACGTTATTATGTGCCCTCCCCCCAGCACCTCAGCAAAGCCAGGCACCACCTCTGGCTCCATTTTGTTGACAGTGGCTCTCTGGCCCCGGGGTGACTCTGTGAACCTGGCAAGGGCTGCCTCCCACAGGAATAGGGTCTAGAGATGAGGTCACACACCATGGGTCACACTCAGGGAGAGCACTTCCCTGGTAGGTCTGGCCACTTGCCAAAAGCCTCAGTCATGGCTCTTTCTGGAGTTCTGAGTAGAGGTTTGCCTTAAGGTCTAGGTGGGGGACTGGGAAAGGAGAGGAGATTTCCAAGACCTTTCACTTTCACAAGCATACAAAAATGAGATCATAGACTTAAAGCTGCAGAGGACCTTAGACATCCATTTTACAGATGAAAATACTGAGGATTATTTTGGTTCTGTCTTTATAAGCTCTAACACCTGGCTTAGTGCCTTGCAGATAGTAGGCACTTAATAAAATCATGTTGGATTAATATGAGGCAGCTAGTGGCCTGTTGTGAGGATCAAATGAGCTAATATTTGTAAAAAGCACTTAGCCTAACACCTACAAGTAGGAGACCCCATATAAATACTTATTCCCTCCCCTTCCTCTTTTCCTAAGGGCTACAGGGAAAAGACGTTTGCCTGAGGGCCTAAACTGAACCCACATTCTATGACTCAGTATACGGTGTCCTCCATTACTCAATAATATCTCTCCCCCACTAGCTGTGGGTCACATACCTGAGGGAACACTGGAGAGGGGAGAGAAGCTTTTTCTTCTGGGTATTCCTAGTCTCACTGAGAAAACACACCCTCCACAGGAGGGACATTGGTCACTGTACCTGGAAGACCACCAACTCTTATGTTCTCTCATCCTTTGCTTGTCTGCCTGGATTACAGAGCTGGGAAGAGGAAAGGTCAGAGGTGGGAGGGACCTCAGAACAGAATTTCAGAGCTGGGTTGAAAAGCTTGGTGCTTTGGGATGTTAAAAAAAAACCCGCTATGTGGCCTGTTAGTGTCTCTCCTACCCCGGGACCTTGGTGACAGAAGCAGGCGGGTTAGTTTAAAAGGTGAGACATCTTCTGCACTCCCTCTTTCTTCTTCTCACTCAGAATGGTCCCCTTCTAAGAGCTCTTGTGAGAAAAAATGCCTGCTTGCATATGGCCTCTACAGCAATTGCCCTTCCAGAGAAGGGTGGCATGACTCCTCGCCCTCAGAACTGAACTCAGTTTGAGCTCAAAGATCCAGAGCTGGGAGCACCCTAAGAGAGAGAGGGCAAGCACCCCAGCCCCTCTCCCAGTAATCTGCCAAAAACTGGTGGTGTTATGTTTCTCTAAGTGGATAAAGTAGCAATAGAAAATGCTGGTGTTTATGTGATCATAACCAATAGGAGAGAACAGACAGCAAAAATGCTCTCCCTATCATGTGGTCCCCAACAATTCTGTCTGACTTGAGAGCCATCAATAAAAAGCAATGGAAAAAAAAAATGTTCTGCCTCCCCACCCAGAGGCTTACAACATTTCTGCCTCCCTCACCACCATGCAAGAGAGAATGATTTTATCTGGGGGAGCCTTTTGTATGCATGCTCAGGTCAAGATCAGTGATTAGTTAAAAGGTTTTTCTTCAATATGCTTCAAGTGGACAGGAAACTGCCAGGAGACCTGGGCAGGCTCTGAATTTGGGAAGCAAAGAGTGTCATCATCACATATTCCTGGAAGGAGGCTGACCAAGCCTTCATGCTTATATTTAAGTGGAGGAGTATATTATGCATGCTTTATGGATTGGGCCCCCATTGGCCAATCCTTCCCTTTACACAGGAAAATCTGGCATTTATATACTTTGATACTCAATAAGTTTGGCAATGTACTTCACGTACAGCATTTCATTTGAGTAGTCTCTCAGTGCCTTTCAAGTAGGTCATTTAATATTATTATCCCCTCTCTTGTGTATTTCCTGTTATAATCAAATCTGTATAATTTTCCAGATTGCTGTTTGCATTGATGAAAAAATTTCCTCACCATTCACTATTTGTGATATTCTTTTGTGTAACCAAAGGAGGGAAAGGAGTCAACCTGGAGGTATAAGCTTGGAGCAACCCTCCCTCCCTTAAGGGTTATCAACCAGGGAAGGGTTGTTGTTTTGTACCCTAGACCAGCATTGTTGGGGGGTGGAGTGCAGGGAGAGATATAATTCTAGCCTAACACCCTTCTTGGGGGTAGCTAGGTGACTCAGTGGATAGAGTGCTGGGCTTGGGATTAGGAAGACCTGAGTTCAAATCCAGCCTCAGAAACTTACTAGCTGTATGAGCCTGGGCAAGACTACCTTAATGCATTGGGAATGGAAATGGCAAACCATTCCAGTATCTTTGCCAAGAAAACCCAGTGAATAGTACTGGTATGCTATGGTCCACACAGTCACAAAGTCAGACATAATTGAACAACAGCACAACTCCTCTTGGAGAGAGGAGAAAAAAAAAAAACCCACCCAACTTCTCAATGCCCTGAAGCGTGTCTGCTCCTCTCCTAGCTATCATGCTGTCTTGTTTCTCTCTTCATATGATTTCAGTTCATATATTTACATGCCACCTCACTTGAGGCAGATTTAGACAACATTGTGGAAATATAGTACACACACACACACACACACACACACACACACACATTACACCTGGACAGAGTAAAACTGCCTGAAAATCCAAGAAATTGTTGGTTCTAATTGCACCTAGGTTCCAATAACATAGAAGGTGGCTGTTCTATGTATTTCATGAAGATTTCCAAAAACATTCCTCTCCCCATCAGCCCATGTCAATCCTGCTTTGTGTTCTTAACCCGAAAGGCCATCCTAGAGAAGAGGGATTCTGCTTGTTTGGTTTGGCCCCAGTGGGCAGAACTCAGCACTAGGGCTTGGGGAAATGGGGGAGAGCTGCAGAGGGGAAGGGTCCAGCTCATCGTGGGGAATGCCTGGAATCCCCAGTGGGCAGAACTCAGCACTAGGGCTTGGGGGAATGGGGGAGAGCTGCAGAGAGGAAGGGTCTAGCTCATCCCAGGGAAAGCCTGGAATCTCTACACTGTTTCCTGGTCTGTTTTTATGTTGCTCTGTGGAGATGTTGGGGCTCAGGAAATGCCCCCACTGACCCCAGGGGACAGAGGGAAGACGGCAGAAGCTGAGAGCCAGAGACCAGGAGACAGGTTACAGTGATCACCAGCCATGACCCCCTTGTCTTCTACTGCACCTTTCCCCTTCCTTCTCGAGCCTTTTCCTCTGACTCTGCAGCAGCGACTTCCTCTGGCACAAACAGTGTCAGAGGCTGAGATGGAGTCTTTGGCAGAAGTATGAGAGAACTGCAAGTAACTGGGCTAACTTGGGCATCTAGTGGCCAGTGCGGGTACTGCAGCCCTTATAAAGCATCTGCAGCCTCACACATTGGCCAGAGACTGAAGAGCTCATAGCTCCGCTGTGGCGACACCTGGTGGCTAAATTCAGATATTGCATCACTTGATTCAACTCTTGTGAGTCTATTAACACAGGCGTGACATGCCATCACCCCGTAAGCTACCTGGGCACGATTTTTCTGGCGGTCCCCAAGGTCCTCCATGAAATGAGATGGGGAAGGAGAGTGCCTTGGCTGCAAAGTGGCCTCCTGTCCCAGGACATTAAGGAGGTGACCGTCCATGAGATTTAAAAGAGATTCAAAAAGTCTTATGCATGGTAGAGAAAAAATGTCACAGCCAGAAACATTGAGAATCTTCTCTTCTACAGCAGGATGAAACAAGTAAAGACAGAAGAGGCCCATCAATGTCATGCTTCTTCTAGGATATTTGGATTTTGAAACCCACTTTTTCATTTTGTATTATTTTGGAGGGGGAGGGAGGACTAGAAGTAATGAGTATAATTTGCAAGCAGGCATATGTCAGCTCAATGTAAGGAGCTGTTGAAAAACACCTTGGCTTAGAGCTGATTGGCCCCTGACACATGCTACCTCTGTGACCATGGGCAAGTCCAATGTTCTAGATCAGTGTTCTCCAAACTACTTTGACAATGCACCTCCATCAGGAAAAAAAAATGTTTACAAGCTTGTACTAGGCAGCTCGGTGGTGCAGTGGATACAGTACTGGGCCTGGAATCAGGAATACTTATCTTCCTGAGTTCAAATCCAACCTGACACTTACTAGCTGTGTGACCCTAGACAGGTCACTTAACCCTGTTTGCCTTGGTTTCCTCATCTGTACAATGAGCTGGAGAAGAAAATGACAAATCATTTCAGTACCTTTGGCAAGAAAACCCCAAATAGGGTCATAGCGAGTCAAACATAACTGAAAAAATGACTGAACAACAACGTTACTGTATTAATGTTACATTATGAAACACACACACAAAGACATTATAAAGGATATAAAAGTGTAATAGACATTTAAAAATATTTTAAATAGTTTTTATTCTCAATGGCACAAAAATTTTTTAGTTCTTACTAGAATATTCATGTTTTAATCTTTAAACACTGATATTAGTAGTATACTGTCTATGTCTTGAGCATTTAACAGTGTTTGATGTCCTCTATTTACTTCTTAGAGTTGCTAACGTTTCTAGTGTAACCCCAGTCCCAAAGCCCATTGGTATGGCACTGTCTCCTGGTTGTTGAAGAAGAATGCCCTGCCCTGTGTGAGGGTGGGATGGAGTTGGAGAAGTCTTCTTGGAGTACTCTTCAAGCATTGAGTCCAGAAGATAGAAGAGGCCAACTCCACTTGATGGTGCTGAAGGCTAAGGTTCTGGGAAGACATGAGAGGTCCTGGCAGTCTCCATCATGGCCCTATCCCTAGCTTTCTACTCTAGAGACTGTAGAGAATTTCCCCTTGGGTGAGATCTAGGACTCTCTTGACTGAGCTGTTACCTCACTCCCAATGGAAG